TCCACCCCTGTGATGGTGGCTAGCCCCCACTGCTGTTTGCTAAGGGCAGTTTATCCCAAGACTCAGGGCTTTGTGGAGGTTGGGGGCATTGCTGCTGACACGCAAGCTTGGAGGTGGGTAGGTGGGACTACAGTCAGAACCCCTGCAGCCTGCAGAGACACTAGGAACACACACATCAAACGGAAGTCCCACCATACACACAATAAGATACATACATGCACACCAACACACACCTGCCCAGGACACTCAGACCTACCTCTCATGAAGACCCGCAAACACAGGCTCCCTGGGTATCTCCTTATAACCCACCTCATGAACACGCATGCACACACGTGGCCCGCACCTCCCCCACTCACACCACACACATCTTCCCACCTGGGTGTCCTCCGCCTACATGCTCTGCAGCCCTGAGGAGAACAGGCACACAGGCCTGGCAGCTGGCTGCAGTTTCCTAGGAAACGCTGTCACCATTGTGGCATCACAGAGCCTAGGGAGGCCTCCAGTATGTGCCTGACAAGCCCCCAGTACCCATCTGGGCACTCAGACAGCCTGTGGGAGTAGGATAGATTAAGAAGAGATACCCAGTTCAAAGACCAAGTAGCAGGAGGCAGTGAGGCACCTATCGAAGTCCCAGTAGACCTAAGTCTCTGCCTCACTCAGCCCAGGTTCTGAAGTGGAAAAAAGCTCCTGACCTGCTGCCCTTTTCCAGAATTGCAGTGACTACAGGGTGGAATTCCTTTGTACGATATCTGCCCTTCTGGAGATAAAAGCAGCTGGTGAAAGAAGGAAGGAACTAAAAGACAGTCTGCTGCTCCTGGAACCCAACTCCCCCGGAAAGAAGGCAGCACAAGGACTGGGAGCTGAAGTCCCAGCATACAGAGGAAGAGGCCAACAGCTTTGGCAAGGTCCAGACTACAGCCTCATTTCCGGATTCAGAGCTTGTCTTGTCTTGGCTCTCTTCTGGGGACAGAAAAGACCACTTGCCAAGACCTTCCATTTCCTATAGAACCTTTGAGAGTGGATCTAGGTGCTTACATGCTGAGGAGCTCAAGCAGTACTGAGAGGATGAGAAGGCCCCTGCTCATGTCCTGGATATGTGGAGAGGGAGGTTCCTGCTTGCCCATGGCCACCAGGTTGCAGGGGTCAGAGCTTGCAAAGCATACCAGGACCTTCCACCAGGGCTCTGTGAGGTGGAAGAATAGTGCCTGGGAGGTGTGGACACCAGTGGGGAGTGCATGAGATCAAAATCATAACCATGGAAGGCCGGCACAGAGAGGGCCGCAGATTTCTGTCCTTCTAATTGAAGGCACCTCCAGCATACCCTATTCCAATGACTTCTTTGGTTCAGAGCCAGTGCCCACTGTACAGAGACTATAAAAGGGATGGGGACACTTAGCAGATAATCCCAGCTCCACCTCTTTTTTGTACTAAGTGCCCAGTGGCAAATAGGCAAGGATTCCCAGGGAGGCAGGCCAGGTGCCTGACCTTTGTGAACTCAAGCTTGGCTGCCCAGGCTGGCCCCAAGTTCCTAGATCTGGTGGGAGCACAGAGGACATCTGTGGTCCTTGGAGGAGATCAAAACAAATAGGGGAGAATATAGTATGAGCTGGCAAGGGCAGGAGGGTGAAAACAGAAGAGGGCTTGAGGAGGGAGTAGGGATAGGGAACCTGGGTATCTGCTCCAGACTGAGCCTAAGCTGAGGGCAATACCCCTGGGTGCTGGCAGAGCCCTCAGGGGCCCATAGCCAAGGCTCCTGTCTCTTGAGGCCCACTCCCTCTCAAAGGGAGCATTCTCCTCCTGAACCTGTGTGTCCACTCACAAGCACACATTTCCCAAGGGGCAGGGTTACTGACCAAGAGCCATGCCCAGCCCCAGCCCACATGCCTGCCTTGTCTGCAGTGTGGCAGAGGTGGTTCTTCCCTCGGGGAGCCTCACACACAAGGGCATGGGGAGTCTGTAGGACTGTGATGGTATTGGTGCACTGACAATGGTGATGATGATGTTGATGAAGATGATGGAGATAAGGGTAGTGGTGATGCTAGTGATGAAGATGTGCCTGCAGCTAACTTTTTTTTTTTTTTTTTGCAGCTAACTTTTTAGACCTCTAGTGTGCAGCCAGCAGTGACCTCTGACACTTGTTAAGATGCACAGGGCACTTGCCCACTCGCTCTTTCCCTGCCTTGTCCAAGCTTTCTCGCGGTCACTTTCTCCATCATGGAAGGCATTAAAATGCAGCTCTCATGCCTGCGTTAATCACAGCCCCTTTCTCAGAGTCTAATCAACTCCTAATTAACCCGGTTTCTAGCAGTGTGAGATAACTGAATCCACTTTGAGTCTTTCTGTGGACAGAATAGTTGGAGCCCACCTGGCTACTGTGATGGTGGAGATTTCAAAAACAAGGTACTTTGGTTTTAAATACATATTTTGTTTTGTTGTTGTGTTGTTTTGTTTTTGTGGGACTAGGGATGAATCCAAGGCTGCACACATGCCAGGCAAATGCCCTACCAGGAAGCCACACCCGCAGTCCTGAAAACGTGTTTTCAATCCATTGGTAAATGTCCTGATTTACAAGATTTCATTGCTTAAACCATGAGGACAGTGAATTTGGACAGCATTTCCTTCCACAAGGCTATTTGCACCCCTGCAACTTTGTCTCTGACAGAAAACACCGACATATTCATTCTCTTTACAGTTATTGCCAATATTTCGTCTAAACCTTGCATCTACTTTCCTCTAAACTTTGCGACCCCAAGGCTGTCAGATGCTGGGCTTTATCACCCAGCAATGTGTGGTGCTCACACACTGCCTTTTCTCACCTGGATCACCAATATTTTGACAACTACTTCCCTGTACCTGGTCTATTTTGTAGCCCTGTGCGTTTTTGCTTCACAGGAGAAACTGTCTGAGGTGCACGGAATCTTTGGTACTATCTACTGTTTTCCATAAATCTCAAACTGCTCTAAAAAGTCTATTAAATTTTAAAAGCCTATTCATTATTAAAAACAATACACCCCAGGGTGTCAAAGTCCACCTTTGGAGCAGCATGGGAGAATGGGGAGAGCCACCCCCTCACCAGCAGGCCTGTAGCTCATGCACATCAGATCAGAGGAGCAATGCTCATCTCTGCACTGGGGAGTGGGCTGGACAGCCTGGGCCACCACAAATCTAAACTTTCTCACTAATTCCAGCCATAGGACAGTGAACACCTGTGGGGGCAGCTGCATGGGAGGAATGAGTGTGCCAAAAAGGTACTTCAGCATTGATACAACTTACATGCACACACACACATGTACACACATGCCAGGAGGATACATGCACACACAGGCATGCATGCATAGGAACTCACAGGCAAACATACATAGCAACACACGAGCACACACAGATACACGTACCCAATATCAGTCAGTGGCCCCACGCTTTGACACATCTGGCATATTCCATTCTCAGCTTTAAGAGAATTTTCTTTTCCACCTAAATATTTTCCATTCTGTACACACATCTGATTTAATCTCAGCCACTACATTCAAAGTAATTAAACCAAAAACTCATTTTTGTTTCTTTGGGAGTTGCTGGGAATCGAACCCAGGGCTTTATGAATACTAAGCAGGTGTTATACCACTGAGTTATATCCTCAGACTCATTTTATTTTGAGACAAGCTCTTACTAACTTGCTTAGGCCTAACTTGTGACCCTCCTGTCTCAGCCTCCTTAGTAGCTGGGATTACCACATTTGTTCACCACCACATCAGATAAAAAGCTCATTTCTGGAAGAAAAATAAGGTATTTCTGCATCAATATTTAACATCTGCCTAGCATTCTGGATACTTCCCTGGTGAGTAGAACAATTTCCACTCCCAGTAAACACTAATCAATCGCAAAGCCTGAAGGAGGGAGGAATATTCCGAATGAAAGAAAGATCAGCCAGGCTGCCTGTCTGGGATGTATGGTTTGAGGGGATTATTTTCTTCCTCACTTTAAAATCTCAGCACTAAATTCAGTTTGATAACCAGACTAAATGATTAGTATGCTTTAGAGCAAACGTGTGTGAATCTAGGCCTTAACAATTAAACATTTCAACGAGAAATGTACCATCTGAAAGCCAGGACTCCACTAAACCGAGGAGCAGGTGCTGTTTGTGGGAGGGAGCTGCGATGAGAAGGAGACTGCTGTATGTGGTACGACAGCACAGAACACCTACAATCAGTGCACTGCATGTAAAGTAGGCTGGGCTCCCCTCTCTGCAGAAAGCAAGCCAAAGTGTAATGAAATTACAGACATCAGGGCCACCGAAAGTAGTGCCAAGCAGGGCGAACGCCATGTGCTGGGGCCTGCCTGTGCTGTACCCACCTGAGCAGACTGCAAGCACACAAACAGGCTCTTGAGAATAGAGGCAGGTAAAGTCCAGTCCAAGGAAGATGGCACCTCTGGGATGAACCTGCTCTGTTCTGCAGGATCACCTGCCTGAGCCCCACAAGAAAACAGAGCTAGGGACAAACAGCAAGAGTGGGCTTCACACCACCTTGCTCTTCTTCCATCTTGGTTGGGTAGGCTCTGATGGAGTTCTGCTCTCCACTCGGGCAACTGCAGTTAAGGGACCATCCCAAGGGGCTGGAGCAGCCACAAGGACAGATGATGTAAGTGTGGTTCTGAAGCAGGGAATCTGAGTACCTTGCTAGGGCCCAGCAAGAAGCCCCACTCCAACAACTGCCCGCTTAGCACTTGCTCTGGTGGGGCAAGGTAGGTACCCTGGAATCTAGCCATGATGGAGAAGACCATGTGAGACCCTGGGACCACAGCCTGGATGGAGCCAGCCTCTCTGGACACTCATCCACTAGGCTAGATTTGGTGGGTGGACACAAGTGGTTTGTGTAGGACTGTAAGTCATCATGATGACACCTACAGGAAGATGACCCAAATCATCCTCATCAGTGGGATCCTACCATTCCTCAGCCAGGTGTAATCCCAAGGAGAAAACAAACATGCATCCGCACAGACGCTAGTACATAGGTGTTCACAGCTGTTTATTCACAGTGGTTCAGAGATGTAAAGAACCCAGCAGATGAGCACATAAATGTGCCATGTGCATCTAAGGGAACATTACTCAGCCATAGAAATGAACGAGGCCTTGATATGCACTACAACATGGATGATCAATCTTGAAAACGTGTTCAGTGTAAGAAGGCAGAGAAAAACCACACACTGGTTCCTTTGATAGTAAATATCCAGGATCCACAAATCCAGAAAGCAGAGTAGTAGTCACCAGGGATTTGATTGGATGTAATAGTTAAAAGGCTCTAGGTTTCTCTCTGAGGGGGTGAAATCTTTCCAAAATGGACAATGGCAAGGTTGCATGTCTGTGAGGATACTAAAAACAACCACCCACTGAACACTGTAGACAGTGAGTTATGGCTTTTTTGAAGACTTGTTTCCTGTCTCCCCAAAGGAGGAGGCCAGATGGCTCCAGGGTGTCTCAGGTTCCCATTGCTGGTCTCTGCCATAGTGCTCACCCTGAAACCACAGATGAATGCCTCAGTAAGTTGTTATGACTGTTCTTGGTGGCAAATGGCTAGTAGGAAAAATTCATGCTTGAAACTGTTCACACAGAGCAGGGATCCAAAGTGGGGTGATCACTGTAGTGGGCCCCTAAAACTCTCCCCCTTCTTCTCAGAGTCAGGAACTCCTGTCTGCCTGTGCTGAGCAGCTGATCTCTACGCTCTCCTTTCCCACTCAAGCCAGGGGAGAGGAGGGGGTCCTAAAGGACCTACCCAATGACATCCTTGAGGACTTCCTGGGTGACCTCTTGGGGAGCCAGGGTTCCAGCAGAACCTCAGTGGCTTGCACAGTTTCGCCCCAAAGCAGATTTTGTGTCTACACCCCGCACTCATTCAAAGGCCTCTTCTGTGTTCTCCGACGGGGTTGCTTAGTAATGTGGAGAGCCAGCCCACCACCTGTCCAGGACTCAGGCAGCCTGAACAGCTCAGGAGTGATCTGAAGCCTGGAGAGGCCTCTCCACAGCGCTCCCGGAACCCCAGCCTGTCTCTACCATGCCAGCCACACTAATCATGCCCTTTCACAGTCATCACCCATGACTCTTGGCCCTCAGCCCTCCCCAGTCCCAACCTCTGCCCATCACACTTTGACCTTGTCCCATGTCCAGCAAATTGGGCCCCGGCATTGCTTTTGGTCTTCCTAGCACCTTCAGGACTATCACTCCAGCACCTCAGACTCCACAGCACCCCTCTAGCCATGAGCACTCACCCACCCCACTGCCAGTTTCCTTGAGCCCTACCTCTAGGCTCCAGGCTGCTGGGCCCAGGAAGGAAGGGGGCCTCCCTGCCCTGTCTCTCTCTGTATAATCACAGTGAGTAACCACACTGTCTCCCTCAGTGGTCAAGGACTAGCTGGCCTGGGAGGAGCCAGAGAGCCTCACCCGCCTCTCTATGGATCCTGGTGAAAAACCCGTGGTGTAAGGCAGGCAGGAGCTAAAAATAAATCAGCTTGGGCAGAGGCTGGCTGGCAGTGGTGTCTCTGTGGGGAAAAGCGCTGGGGGTGGATGGGTGGAGGGAGACAGGCGGTGGGACAGTTCGAAGCCATAAGCCCAGGTCCCACAGGCTGAGCTGACCATACCTCTAACCCAGAGAGGCTGAATGGCTGAACCAAGAGGAAAAGGAAGTTGGTCTTAGATCAGACTGGCAGGCAGCTGCCCCAGCCACATCCCCTCCTTCTGGCTCAGCATTGGTCAGCTCCCAAAGTGCTCTCGGGTTTTCTGGGGGTACAAAGCAGCTTAACCCTGCTGAGCAGGGACAGGGCCCCAACCTGGCCATCTGTGTCTGGGCTCTTCCCTGTTTGTTTCTTACCATACAGGGTGTCAGGGACAGGAGCTACTTCCATATTAGTTGTCACCAACCCCAGCTAGTCTGGCTGGTTCTTTCCCTGATATCCAGAAGGCTGAGTAGCCCCTAACACCAGGTAGCTACCAGCATGCCGGGCTGGGAGGACACAGGAAGCCACAGGAAGCTATGAAAGGGTGAGCTGGGCACAGAGCTTCCTGGGTGGCACGAGGCCAGATCTGCAGAGCACACATCTGTTAATGTCTGGGAAACTTTTCTGACTACAGGAAACTTTTCTCTTCTTTTTCTTATTTTACTGATTTTTCTACCACTATCTTATAGTCAGAGAAACTGCAGAAAGGGGGAGGAGGGACTTGCAGGGCTCTGTCACACAGGGTGGCTGTGCTGCCAGCAATATCTGGAAGTGTCCAAGGTTTTGGTGCCCTAAAGGCCAGGAATTAGCTTCAGTCTCTTTGGTTATAAGACACAGGTAGTCGGGCCTGACACTGTACAGTGCAGGTCCACTGTGTGGCCAAGAGTCCAGCCTGCAATTGGGACTCTGCCTCTGCCCCTCCATCTCCTCTCCCCAGCCAGCCCTCCCCCACCATTCTTCTGCACAAGTGTTTGATGAGCCAGCAGACTCCAGAGAGCTAAGCTGTGTGCAGAGGGTTAGGACTGGGGAGGCCTAGTGGACCCAAGGCCATGGCAAGGACAGGCAGAGCCTGCAGTCCTAGGGCCTGAAGCTCTGGCACAGGCTCCTATCAGGCCTCACATGCCCTACTCTGCCAGGCCACAGACCTAGAGGCCATGGAGACCACCTCAGTTGCAGCCTGGTGGCTGGGAGATCTGGAGATGGCGTCTTTCAGAGGGAGGGAGGGGGACTGGGCTGGGATACAGGGTGACAGGAACACACGAGTGCTGGCATACTCTTGACCTGTCCCCCATCATGCCCTCCCCTATCCAGCCTGTTCCATATCAAAGCATTGACAGCTGGCCTCAAATACATGACTGATGGCCAGGCTGGTGACTGAGCAAGAGCAGTTAGAAGAGCAGCCTGGTGACTGCTTATGAAAGCAGTTAGATCACAGTGGCTCCGCTGAAGAATCCTGCTCTTGAGTGTGTCCTAGAAAGGTGCTATCCAGGGCTCCCACCCTCGCTGACCATGGGGCCCTACTCACACCCACCCCCAAGTGATGCTGAAGGGACTCTGGGTTAGCTGGTTGCTGGGACCAAGCTGGGCTCTGTTCTGAGTGGGTAAGCTCTTGCTGAACGGGATGCCTGGGAGGCTAGGACAAAGCAGAAAGGGTCCCAAACTAGCTTCCTCTACCCAGTTCACACCACCAACTGCATTCTGCTGCCTCACTGAACTGAAACCTTAGGCCTGGCTCCCCCAGGTATTGTCTGTCTCTCCACAGGGTCTCCTCCTCTACACACTCCCTCCCCTGGATTATGAGTATAGAGATCAGGAGCCATGGAGGTCACCTGGGCTAACCTGTCTGTATGTCCCTCTCAAAGGGGAGTAGAGGTGACACGTCCTGCTTCAGAGACGTGATAGAGACCAACTGGGTTCACTATGTGAAGTCAGGGAATGGCATGCAGGGTAGCCAGGCAATGAGGACTGCAAAGACAGTGGCCTGACGACCACTGATAGGACAGGCATGCTGGGCTCTGGGCACTCCAGGCCCACACACCAGGCCTGGGCTTACCCACTTTTTTTTCTTTTTGAGACAGGGTTTCACTGTGCAGGTCAGACTGGCCTCGAACTCACAGCAATATGCCTCAGCCTCTAAAGTGCTGGGAATTCAGGCATGTGGCCACCACGCCTTCCTCCCACTCACTTCTTGTAGCCACTCTGTCAGGGCCCCTAGAGGTGGGGTGGGGCTGATTACCTCCACCCAGAAGGCTGAGCACTGTGCTGGAAACCACCAGGGAACTGCAGTGTTGTCACGGACTGGCCCACAGCTTTAGTCCCCATTCTGGGTGTCACTGAGAGACAGAGAGTGCCATGGTATGACAGACCAACCATAAAATCAAACCGACAAGCAGGCATCGTTAATCTTCTACTTAAAAAATAAGATTAAAAACAAAACAAAACAAAAACCTGCCTTCACTTGAAATTAGATCTGCTGAAAGGCCATCTATCTCTCCATGCTGGGGGGCAGTGCCCCTCAGGGTGGATAGAGTTCAGGCCCAGAATCCCAAGTTTCTATACCCTGCTCTTCCCCTGAGCTTCAGAAGAGGATAGCTAGCCCTGAGACACCTCATTCACCAGGTGTGGGCCCCCAGCTACAATGGAAGAGAACCCAGTAGCAGGAACTGTTGATATCAGCGTCATGAGGGACCAGACAATTGGAGGGCCAGGTCTGGACCCAGAAGGCATCCGTGTGTGTGCTGGGTACACAGGAGTTCATTGTTCTATTTTAATGGCAGGATTCCCCTGAACTTGTGAATCTCCAAAAGTGATAATGCTTCCAAATTGGGACCATCTCACAGGTCTTGGGCTCACAACTTTCATAGCAGCCTCTGGGCTCATTTGGGTGAGGCTCCCAGGGCTGACCGGCTCTCAGACCCAGCAGACAGGTACTTCTGGCTCACAGGCACTGCCTGCCATTTGGAGGGACTATGTCCTGCCATCCTCCAAGGCCCAGATGAAGCTGAGATTCTGGACTCAGTGAGAAGACTGATTTGTGAGGACTCAAGTGTCCACAGAGAACAGGCAGTACCACTGCCACTGGCCTAAGGGCCTAGGACTTTCGGCCTGGGGAAGGTCAAGTGTGGCCTGCAGCTGCCCAGAAGAAGGGCCAGACCCAGGGTCCTCAGAGCAGTGCTCTCCTGGCAGGTAGGTGTAAAGGTGGACACCTGGAACCAGGAGCTCATAAGGAACCCTCCCTCCATTCTGTTGAGGGAAGCTGGCCCCTTCCTGCTCATTCCTATGGCCTGTGCTTAAGGAACATGGATGCTGCTGACAACCATTGGCAGAGGGCAGGGCCAGCCCTTTCTCACTGTTGCTGGGGACCCCAGAGTAGAGTGCTCACATGGCCACGCCCAGCCCTTTTATTCTTAGCAGCAGGAAGACCTCCCTCACCCACATCCCAGGCCTGGGACAGGTGCCAGAGGCCTGCTCTGGCCTGACATTCTGGAAGATGCATAATTCATCCCACAAACAAGCATGTGTAAGTATGCAGACTGCTGGGTTGTGTTCACTTCCAAGGAAGACCAGATTCTTTTGGCCCAAATTAACAGGGACAAGAATTCTTTCCCAGCTCTAGTCTTCTTAGGGAGCCCCTGGTTGGAAATGATTCAGAACCTGGTAAATGTGACCACGGTGTGGCAGTGGTGGGTTCCCTTCCTTGAGCCCCCGCTCCTCCTGAGATGGGCCTGGGACAGACCCACAGAGGCTGGCAGCTCCCATTCTGGCAAAACCCCAGCTCTCATACAAGGCCCTCTTTTCCCACTTCAAAGCCTCTAAGACCTTTGGGCCTTGTGGGAGGTGGTTCTCAGGGTTGAGTGGCCAGGGACAGCACTTCCTAGGTAGCCTTTATTCCACTAAAATTTTGTTGGAGAAAAGGGGCCTGCTGCTACAAACGTATTTGAAAGCCACACAAATCCCCCACTTTCGAGAGCAGGTCTAGAACCATGTCCTCAAGAACCATGAAAACTGTCACCTGGTGGTGACCGTTCTGAGTCAAGTTCCCTTGACAACCCCTGGAGAAGACCTTGATGTTGTCTACTGCCCACCCACCCCGACATTCCCAGAATCCTTCACGAGGATGGTCAAACCTTTAGATTGCAGAACACTCCAGTAAAACGAGGAATGAGCAAAGTTGCCATCACCATCTCTGGGATGTCCTTTGGCTCTAAATGAGAAAACTAAAACACCATGAGATTCAAGAGTTTTACCAGTAGGAACAAAGAGCAAAACTAGCCCCCTTGCAGGGGGCTGCCTCTGTCCAGGAAATTCAAGTGTCAACCAGGAAACAGGAGCAAGGCCCAGGTAGGGAGAGGCAGGGGCTGCCCATCTGTCTGCTACAGTGCCACCTTGATCCATGTGGCCATGGGTCCCCTCCTCATACTGTGAGAGGCCTCCAGGGTCCCCCCACATGACAGCCCCAACACATGTGCAACCTCAGGGTTGCTCAAGTAACAACTTAGATTTTCTTACATTTAAACAAAGAGAGCAGAAGACTGATATTTTTTTCTTTTTGTTCCTTTTCTTTTTGGTCTATAAAGTGACAGAAAGGGGAAGGAATGCACTCTTACAAACAGCAGAGCCAGTTTCTCCTCTTAACATTGTGCTGTTTTCAAGGTCTACCCTTCACCTCCTTCTCACAGTACTGGCGATTCGTAGCAGCATCTGCTGGACAAGGTGGCCTTGCAGGCCAGGGCTGATCACCCAGGGGGACCCATGCTCTGGGAGGAACGGGATGAGATGCAGATAGGTCCCCAGCTCTCAAGTGTACAGAGACCCCATGCCCAAGGGCTTGGGAAGGAGAACCCCACACGTGCAATTTGGTTTGTGACAGGCCTGCAGACAGCTGGAGCTGAACAGCTGAGACAGCCATGCCCAGAGGGGAGATTTATGGCTGGGCACAGCTACCCACACTGGCTACCAGGTAGGCTGGGACAGAAGGCCTTGCTCTTGCAAGGGAAGTTTGAGCCTGGAGGCCACCCACACCCAGCATGTGAAGCAGCAAGCACATCACTGGGTTCCTGGCTCCTTCTTAGCCAGGAACACTGCAGCCTGAGTCACGGCAATAAATACATTCAGCCAAGAGGCGCCACTGTGCATGGGTCTTGTCTTCTCCTGGACACACCTGCTCCTTGGGGCTTTGCACCAGGCTGACCACTGTACCTAGTATCTGTCTGCACAAAGCTGGCCAGAAGGCATGAGGGGTCCCTTGGATGGAAGTCAGAAGCTCCAGGACAACAGCTGCATCCTCACGGTCGGTGACCTTGGAAAAAGCAGAAAGGGGCACACTTACTGTGGAGTCAAGTGCTGGGGAAAGGGCCCATTGCAGTCCTAGTACCAGGCCAGTACACCTGCTTGAGTGCCTTTCTCTAGGGCTCTGCCTCTCCAGGGACCCCCAAAGGTCCCCAGCTCCTACAGGCTCTCACCATACCCATGAGTCCCATTTTGCTTGGTGTCCACTTCTGGTGCCCACGGCTGGCCATACATGGAGAAAATGGAGGATATCAGATGGGAAGGACCAGATCACAGGGTCAGTCCCAAGTCTGGCACTAAGGTCAGACATAAGAATACTGAAGAGAGGTTTCCTGTTCTGAATCCTTCCATGCAGGGGACTCCAAGGTGTGACTGTTTGGGGGCCCTAGGTGCACTGATACCCCCCTGGAATGGCATAACCCCTCATTACTAGACCCTAAGAAAGACTCCATAGACTTGTATCCTTTAGGACACACACCCCCTAGTTCCCAAAGTAAGGAAAGGTGGACCCTGAACAGAGACAGCAGAGGTGGGAGCAGCTCTAGGTGTCCTATCACATGAATAGAATCACCCCAAGCTCCACCAACACTATTACCCATAAGCACAGAAAGTCCTGAGAAATAGCAAACTAGCACTGCGTCAAGCCCCAGTGCTCCACAGAAGTTTGTTGACATGGCAAAACTACAACAAATACCTGTGTCCGGAGACACTGAGTTCTTCTCTCCATGAGAGCAGGGGATGAACAAGTGGCAAGACTATAAAACTAATCCAACAAAAAGTGAGATAAAGATCAACTGGAGGGGGCTGGAGATTTAGCTCAGCAGCATAAGCGCCTGCCTTGCAAGCAGGCAGTTGTGAGTTCGATCCCTGGTACCGATCAAAAGAAAAAGACAAAAAAAAAAAAGATCAACTGGAAAAAACAAAGAGTGAACAAAAATAAAACATTCATTATTATCCGTGTGGATGGCCTGCAATTATTAACATAAACAATGAATCTTGATTCAGCTAAAAATTAAGTTCATAAGTGCTGCTAAAGGATGGGGGTTTTAGCCATCCAAAAACTCCATCTTCCATAGAAAAAACTCATAAATAATGTCTAAACTGAAAAAAATCTCAGTAATATAAAGACAGACTGTACATAATATACTGCATATGACTGGTGGACTTTAAAAACAGGATTATATGTAATACTGATACAATAAAAATTAAGTGAAAGAAAGGGTTTTGGGGACATCTTTCTGTATTGTGAAGTGAGAATCACTTTCCCACCTACATTTAGTAAAATATGGAAAGCAGGTGGGTGGCATGTACCTTTAGGGCCACTTCTCCCTGGCTTCCAGGATAGGACCTCCACCCCTGACAGCACTTTCCACATATAGCTGCTGAAGGGGAAGAGATGGTCAGATGCCGGGGACTCCCCTAACCCCACCCACATACTCTATGGCCTCTCTGCAGGGAAATAGGTTGTTCTGGGGGGGAAAGTTATCCCAAGGGAAATTTCTGTTGAGACGCTTGGACACTTGGCCTCTTAGACCTTCTAACGTTGGGTGCAGTGGCCACCTGACAGCCAGGCAGAGGTGGACAGTAGAGCTCTTGGGGGCCCAGAACAGATCCAGGCAGAGGGTGAAGACAGCCTTGGGAATGTTTCAAGGTTATCACAGCAGCATTCCCATTTGAGATCACCAGGAAGTGGGGCTCGAGGAGGTGCTGGGCACCTGATCGGCACAGGCTAGGACTCCAGCCCAGAAGAGGGCCATCAAGCAGGACTGAAGCAAAATGGATGGTTAACTGGGGACTAGACCTCGCTTGGTGACCACTCAGGTGTCCTCGGATAGAAGATGGCCCAGCCACACACAGCAGCCTGATTTTGGGACCTGCAGAATGGGCCCTACTTCCCGGACCCTGAGCCTGCTGCTGCTGTTTGGGAGCTCATGTATGACCACACTTACTCAGAGCAGCCTGGCCCTCGGGCCCATCCAAGGGAGCACCCATAGCCTCAGCTAAACCAGTCTGAGTATGCAAGATGTCACATTCTTCTCTAGAAAGACCCATGTTTCAGACATGGTTGCTGCAGGGGCAGACCCTTGTCAAATACAACACAGGAAAGAACTTACTATGAGACAGCCACCAACTCCAGAGAGTTGGCTGCACTGTCACAGACTGTACAGACTTCAAGGCCCAGCTCCCACACATAAGAGATGGTCAGAACCACCCACTAGCAACTTCCAAGACACAGCAAATCACACATATGCACATTGAGGGGCCTAGAAAGGCAGTTTGTGCCCACCTGTGCTGTTGCAGGAAAGGCTGAGATACCCTTCGCTGTTTGCAAAGAAAAAAGCCCAAACCATAAAAACCCTGGACTCTGCCTCAATAACCCACCCAATGCTGCCCTAACTGACCCCACCAACTTGCAAACCAAGCCCTGGGAGCAGGCCATTCTAGAAACCTCGGGTTGTGTTCTTTCTGCAGGTGTCCCCAGGACTAGATAGACACTTGACCCTATTAGACAACTTGTGATGACTGCTGAGACCCTGCTACATCTCTCCATGCTGAGGACAAGCAAGGGGGCATATGAAGATCTTACTGTCCTCAGCTCCTTCTTTCTCACTCTGCTTCCTGGCTGCCATGGGAGGAGCACCTTTTCCTCCACCATGCCTCTTTGCTATCTTGTTCTGCCTGGGACCATGGACTGAAACTGGGCCAAAATAATCCTCTCCTATTTAAGTATAGGTATTGGGTATTTTGTTCTACTAATGACAAAGGGACTTAAGATATCAAGAGAGCCCCCTCTGGTAGCTTCTCTGCCCAGGCTGGGGAAGAAAGGATGTAGCTGCTTGAATACCCAATACCTATACTTAAATAGGAGAGGTTTATTTTGGCCCAGTTTCAGTCCATGGTCCCAGGCAGAACAAGATAGCAGAGGGGCATGGTGGAGGAAAGAGGAAACAAGTTTGCCCAGAATGCGCCTGATAAGTGGAGGAGGGGGCACTAGTCCAGGTATCCAGCTCCACAGAGAGGATGGAGATGGCACAAGGGCAGCCATGAGGCAGCAGGAAGACTGGGCAGGCAGGGGGGCACCTCAGGGAGCTGGCTGGTCCAAGTAATGGCAACTTGGTCTTGAAACCGTGCTTGGCTGAGGACAGGATAAGGCACTGTCCACAGAGAAGCCCTCTCTGGAGCATAGCCTGTATCTAAGAAGAGATGCCACAAGGCACATGGCCTGACTGGTTGGGGGTGTCACCCATAATAGCTACCTGGACAGCAGGCTGGTCCTCAGGGAGACGTACCCAGAAATGTATAGTCCCCTACTGCTGGAGACATATGGTCTCGTGGCACCACCAAGCTATCACCCCTAAGCCCACTCCCAAAAGGGAGAAGCTTTGTCCAAACCAGTGCGCAGACACTGGCCAGGAGAGGACAAAGCTTGAGTATACTCTGCCCCCCACTGACCCAAAGGTGACCCTCCCTCACCAGCTGAAGCCCAAATTGAGAAACCTTGAGAACATACCTATAGGAGAACACAGTCCAGTGTGTCTGTGCTTTGGGAATTCCAGGGATCTTAGCATTTCACACCCAGGACCTGCTGTTTTCTCATGATTATACTAACACAATCTAAATTAAATTTCAAACCATGACTAGCACGGCCCAGCTCAAGGGTATTCCTGAGCAGCAGTGCCTTGCACCAAACTCACCTGCTCTGTGGTGCTGAAGAGACTCATGGGCAGAGAAGCTACCAGAGGGGGCTCTCTTGATATCTTAAGTCCCTCTGTCATTAGTAGAACAAAATACCCAATACTTATACTTAAATAGGAAAGGTTTATTTTGGCCCAGTTTTAGTCCATGGTCCCAGGCAGAACAAGATAGCAGAGGGGCATGGTGGAGGAAAAGGTGCTCCTCCTATGGCAGCCAGGAAGCAGAGTGAGAAAGAAGGAGCTGAGGACAAGAAAATACCCTTCCAGGTGACACCCTCAGTGACCCACCCCCAACCAGGCCTCACCTTCCAACAGCACATTTAGTTACCCAACTACTGAATGAATATTGTGCTCCATTAGTAATCATCTTGCATACATTAGACTTTTGGGGCCATTCCAATCCAAACCATAACACCTGAGCTTAGCCTTGGTCCCTCATTCCGTGGCCTGCAGCCTGCCAGGTCAAGCTCAGCACAGAGAAGCCTTGTGCTCGGATTCAAGCAGCTACATCCTTTCTTCCCCAGCCACCAAAAAAGCCAAGGCCTTACGGTCTGCAGGCTTATGCTGCATCACTCAAGATGCTAACCTGTGAGGCAGGGTGCCAGCACAGGTCTGGCCCATTTAGTATTCTCAAGTGGCCACAACAAAAATAGCTGGGCATGGTGGCCATGCCTGTAACCCCAGCACTCAGAAGTGTAAGGCAGGAAAACTGACAGAAGTTTGAGGCTGACCTGGGCTACAGAGTTCAACACCATCTTAAACTACACAGTGAAATTCTGTTTCAAAAGAACCAAACCAAACAAAGGACCACAATCTTAAGTTGGAGCATCACACATCTGTTCCCTCACTGCTCTGACAGACAGATATCTGCAGTCAAGGTGCCAAAAGGCCACTCTCTCCTCAGGTCTAGGGAGGCCCCAGGTATTCTGTGTCCTGTGGTCCCATCCCTTCAATGTCTGCCTCCATCCTCATGTGGCTTCTATCTGTGTCTGAGTCCAAGCCTCCTCCTTACAGGATGCCAGCCATTGGATGAGGCCCAACCTATGTCATAGATCTCTCTCTCTCTCTCTCTCTCTCTCTCTCTCTCTTTCTCATTTCCTGTAAGGTTTTTATTATAACAGCATTCAACTTTTATGAAGTATACAGACGGTTTCCTTTGAATCCACATTCATGCAAGTAGACACTTAGCAATATTTAAAATGTAATAAAATATCCCTTGGGTGCCAGGTGTGGTGGCTCACGCCTGTAATCCCAGTACTTGGGAGGCTGAGGCAGGAGGATCAGTTGCGAGTTCCAGACCAGCCTGGGCTACAAA